ACATCAGTTCTATCCCTCTCTCATGGAATACACTGGGAGTGATCCACGTGCAAAAATCTATTGCACTTTCCCTCTCTCCTTCTCCACACCCTCCCCCCATCAGCCCAGGGGTGTCCTCTTCTGCCATGGAACCTCCAGACCTTGTCACCTGCCCCCCCCCATGATGGAGGATACTGCAACTGCATTCAAAGAACCTAGGCAGAGTGGCATTTCCACCTTGGATGCCCTGGCCCACCCGCCACTGCTGAGCATGTCCTTCTCTGAGGTGGAGAAAGAGGGAGGCTGAGGCCCCAGCTCTGCAGGAGCAAGAGGGAGAGGGGAAGAGGAGAGCAGCCCCTTTTCCTGCTAACAAGGATGGAGTCAGAGAAAACAGAAGGCAGAAAAGAACAGCATCCATCCTGAACACTTAAATAATCCAGACGCTGTGTCAGGTTCTTTCATTCATTCATTCAAAAATACTAAGCCAGTGCCTACTATGGACCCTCCCTGTGCTTGGGGCTGGGGATAGAAAGCTGGACACAAATGACAACGTGTCCATCCTTGTGAAGTTTCCAGTTCAGTGGAGGCACAAACAGCACCCAGGGAACATTTCGGTAAGTGTAAAATGATAGTAGCGATCAAGTCTGAAAAGGGGGGAAGATCACAGAATTTGCTACAGAAATGAGGCTGGGAACGTAGCTCAGATGGGGGATGGCTTTGCAGACAACATGCCATTTAAGTGGAGACACTGGGTGAGTGGGGGTGGGTGAGTCAGAGGGCAGGAGAGAGCATCTCAGGAGGAAAATTCTGCGAAGGTTCTGGCAGGACAGAGAGGCTAGAGTGCCAGGGAGAGGTCTGCGTGTCAGGAGCAGAGAGAGCCCTGGGGCGACAGGCAGGACAAGCCCACTTAGGAGACTGCGGGTGCAGTAAGGATTTCGCATTCCATCCAGGATGCAAAAGGAAAGCAATGAGCTTCTAAGTGGAGAAGAGGTGTGATCCGCTTTAACATTACTTTCTACATTTTGGATTAATATAAGGCTCTACGCAGTTAGGTTACAGTGTTTGCCTATGTTAGGAAAAATCCCTTCTATCTGCGTCTTTCCCCCCAGGTGTGCCATGTACACCTACACTGTACTTGTTAAGTGAGCTTAACAAGCCCCTTTCTTTCTTCTCCCTCCCCTCTTCTTAAATTTAATTCTCTTTTCCTCTCCTGTGGACCCATAGTTGTTCATCTACTAGTTTCAAATTAGTATGGAGTACATGGGATGTTTTTTTCCCCATTCTTGAGATAATTTACTAAAGAGTGTTCTTCAACTCCACAAATGATTAATAAACTGGGGCATATGTATCCCATTTACACTTTTTTAAATGATCACGCTAGCTGCAAGTTGAGAACAGTTGAAACACACCAAGTGAGACCACTGGGAAGGGACTTTTGTCAGTTTTTAAGCAAAGGGTTCAGGCAGCAGGAACTAGGATGGTAGCAGCGGAGAAAGGAGAAGAACATTTTTGTGGGCGTTATAAGGGAGATGCTCATTATCTCACTGAATCCTCACAACGACTCTGGAAAGGCAGTGTTGTGGCTCCACTTTAAAGATGGGAATACTGAGGCTGCTGGTTCTTGTCACACAGACAAGAAGAGACAGCTGTGTCTGAAGCCCTGATCACTCTCCAGCCTCCTCCTCCAGGAAGCCTCCTGCGGTTAGCTGCTCCTTCCTGTCCTTTTCTTCCTACAGCTGGGATAATCTGAGATGCTCACTTCAATAACTGGTCATGTGATGCTTTGTCTTCTGAAGTATTCCAACAGTTTCCCCAATGCCATGTGCTCCAGTGTAGGGGCCCCAGGAGAAATGTATCTATGCTGACTGAGTGGCTCTCTCCGGTACCCATCTTAATGCTCTCCTTAGAGATTGCACAAGTCAGACTCAGAGACCAGAGTGACTTACACAGGGTCACAGGGAAAAGCACTAGCAGAGCTGGGACTGGAAACCACTATCCCTGTCACTCTCAGATGACCACAGAGACCCAACTTCCTTCTGAGTACTTCAAAGATGGTGGCAGTTGAATGCCTTCATCCTAGATTTGGGAAACGTGCCTCAAATCCTATTTATTGGATGGAATCCTATTTTTTGGAAAGAGGCATAGTGAAGTAACACAAATGCCCAAATCCTATGAGGTGACTGCTCTGGACTAGCACAGGGACCTGTCATTCCTGTTATTTTTTCTCTTCCGTCCCCACCCTTTGCACTTTGTCATCGCTTCTGTGTCACTGCTGGACTGGCTTGCACGCCCCTAGGCAGACCACAGGGAGCTGCTGACTCACAGCATTTGCTAAAGAGGAGCTGGGATGTGCAGCAGAGGAAGGGGGAGGGATGGTGGGGGTCCAGGCAGGCCTGAGGGGCCCAGGGGAGAAGAAAGCCAATGGCACGGCTGAAGGGGATAGCAGAGCTGTTCTAGTGTCATAGTCAGATCCTGCCCCAAAAAGAGAAACAGAGAAGGGGACAGGCATTGGGCACAAGAGAAACAATTAGGATGTAAAGAGGAGCTCCAAGAACAGGGATTCTCATAAATACACAGCCCGTCCCATGGACGCCCAGGGGAGAAGGGACCTCAGAGGTCAAATATGACAAGCTGATGCTTCCACACTCCTGTGTTTCAGACAAGAAAACAGAGGCCTGGATGAGAGGTGGACGTGACTCCAAATCCACAGCAAGTTAGTACCGAGTCTGAAGCCTCCTCCCAACCCAACACACGTACCAGGTCCGGTGGTCCTGCCTCAGCAGCTCCGCTCCACCTCTCCTCCTCACCCTTTCTAGCCAGAGGAGAGGCGGACAGATAGTCGGGGCTGAGCAAATATTTGTGATATGTTTGAAGGGAAGGAGAGAAGGAAGAAAAGAAGGAAGGACAGATTTCTTAGGAAAGAGCAGGGGAGTAAAGCAGCGAATGGTAGGAAAAAGGGGGAAGAAGATGAGGAAATAAGGAGAGAGAGAAGGAGAAGAAACATAAGGAAGGAGAACAAAAGAAAAGGCAGGAATGACGAGAAGGAGGCAGTGATAAGAGAGCGAGGGAGGAAGAGAAGGCGGAGAAGAGGAGAAAACAGAAATTAAAACACACAAGCAGGCAAGAAAACACTACTCAAGAGACTGAGGAGGAAATAAAGATGTGATGGAAACCAGAGGTGAAGGGCGAGCGAGCTGCCGTCAGTGAAAGGGTGGGGAAAGGCCAAGTAAGCGGGGTTGGCACTCAGCTGGCTGTAGGGCCAGGGTGTCACAGCCCTGGCGTCCTCTCCATCCTGAAGACACAGCCTGGTCTTCTGGAATGTACAGAGGCACTCGGCCAAATTGTTTATCACAATTTGTTTTGCTTTTCTTTTTTTGAGTTCAACTCCAATTTATCGGAGATGTGCTCAGTGATGGATATTTTTCCAATTAGCTGTAAATAACCCAGTCCGGCTAGGGGACTCGCCGACTTCCCCAGCCTTAAATTCTGGCTGCTGAATTTGGGCAGGGAGAAGACAGGCCAAGGTTTGTCAGTCACCAACTTCTAAATGTCCAGTGCTGAAGATTCCAGGAAGCTAAGTACTCCTTGTTGGCCTTGTGGCTGAAATCAAGTGGAGAAAGCTGAGGGGTAAGACGGAGGAAGAGACAGACCCCCTTAACCCAACTGCCACAGAGGCTGCGGACCCCTCTGGGTGGTGTACCAGTGGACGCACTCCTCCCACATGGGGCTCTGTCAGGGCGAGTCCCAGAGGCTGGGGGACATGGAAATAAGGAGAACCAAGCTGGCATTAATGTCAGCCTCATTTCACCTTCAGGATACACCATGCACCACAATACATTTTCTGTATTACTTAACCAAAATTCATCTCCAGCCCTACAAGGCAGTTCATCCCCAAGGTCCAGCCCCCAGAGGAGAAAACTGTGGCACAGGGAAGGTAACTAATTTGCCTAAGAGCAACAGGAGTTCAGGGAAGCTCCGTAACCCGATCTCCTGCGGTGGTCATTAAACATGGGCAGGATACCTGCAGGAGGGTTTGTGAGAAAGATTCCCCCTCTCCCCACCTGGGTCCTTCCTTAGCCCACTTCTCTGCAGAGGGGGGAGGGCCGCACATCCCACCTTGTGACCTGACATTTGGCCACCAGACCTTCTTTTCAGAAAGCAATCAGAGCCCACGACTCAGCTCCTGGTCACTGGAGCCCGAACCCTAACCCAACCTCCCACTGGCTGCTTTCCCATCCATACGGAACCCTCAGGGATGAGGAATTAATTACATTTGCAGGTGATCTCCTGAAATATGCTATGTTTTCCCTTCACAGAACATTGAATCATCAGAGAACTACACATCTTGGCCATGAGGTTTAGCCCTCCATGGAGTTCTGTTTCAGTATTTCGATCTCACCTTATGTTGAGTGCTCAATGAGTGAAATAATTATGCATCAACAGTGATTTTTATCTGTTAAAGACACTTGTTTATGGGGACCAACTGGAGGACTGGAGAAATCTATGGTTTTGAGGTCAGATAAATAGAATTTCCTGAGTAAATGCTTAGTTCCACCCTGCGGACTCTGTGGCTTTATTTCTGAGTATGTGTCCCTTTACCCTTAGGCAGCTGGGAATCCCTGATTTAACTTTCTAGTTTCCTCTAAGAGCTACATAACACAGATGCCATGGATTACATTGTATCCATCTTCTCTGAGTTTGAATAATTTTCCTTATTCCTATTTTCCTTTCAATCTGATCAGGTATTTAATGTGCTGCTCTGAATTCTGAAAACTGCATATCCTGAAAAAAAAAAAAAAGAAATCCCCCAATCTTTTGAGGAATGAGATAGGACAGAAAGTAAATAAAGAATGAAGCAAGGAAAGGAAATAATGAAGGTCACTCGTCTGGACAGGGCAGCCGATGCCAAGCTCAGCGTTAACGAGATTGAAGAAAACTGAGTATTTGTCACTGAGCACAGAATCGGATTCCAGGCTTTCCTCCTACTGACTCGGCTCTGGAACCTTCGGAGGGTCCGTTACCTTTGCTGCGGCGGCGACTTCGGTACTGCTCCGTGTAGAATGTCAGCTGCGTCTCGTCGTCTGCCTCTGAGCCGGACGTGCCCTTGGCTCTCCCGAAGCTGATCCCCCCTGAGAGGAAGCACAATCCATCAGTCAGTCTCCCGGGCCTCCTGAAGCTTGTTAATCCCTCCATTGCCCCGGAGATCAGCAACCCCATCCCCAGACTTCTCTCTGTAAACCCCAAGTGACCCCGGAGTCAGCATGATTAATGGAAGGAGTGCGGGCTCTGCACTGAGGTGGACCTGGGGTCCGAGCACAGCTGGGGAGCTTCTGGGCTGTGTGACCTTGGGGACCCTCCATACCTTTCTGAACCTGGGGCTTTCTTTAGAAAGTAGGGATGATAGCCATTAACCTTGCGAGGTTGCTTGAAGATTAAAGGAGACAGGATATGTAAAATTTCTGGTCCACGGTGGGCACTAAATAACTGATAGCTATTGTGGCTTTGGGTGCTGAGCCTACCTCTGTGAAAACATTCCAGGCAACTTAATTTTACACACGGTCCAGTCAAGGGCTTGCTGCTTGCCAGGCCCAGAGCCGGACAGTGGAGACGCACTGATGTGCACGGCACAGTCCTTGCCAGGCTTCAGCGAGTGCGGGAGACAAATGGAATCCTAAGGAGCCTTAAAGCTAATTCATGGCTTCTGTTTACCACTCAGGGAGACGCTAGGAATATGGGGGGAGCAATTCATTTCAACACCGAGGACCTCAGAAGGTTTTATGGAGGGACGAAGATTTAAGTCAGGGCTGGAAGGATGGATGAGGCTTCAGAGGAAGAGAAAAGAGTTCCGGGAGAGGTGACAGCTTGAGCACCTGCAGGGCTGGGGTGGGAGTCGGAGTCAAGCCGAGTGCTGCCTGGGAAGAATAGGCTGGAGCCACGCCACGGAAAGCCCGGGGTGCAAAACTGAGAGTCAGGAATTAACTCTGCGGGTCATGGAAGGCTCCAGAACAAGAGAGTGTGTACCAGGAAGGACACTCCAGTGGGACCCAGGTCTCAAAAGGGGTGACAGGCAGAGTGCAGCCCAGGGGCTCAGTAAGGGCCAGGTGGGAGGAGAGGGGTGGAGGGTGTGTGCAGTGAGGTTGAGAGGAGGACGGGGTGCAGTGGGGTGCCATGGGGTTTCAGAGAGCAGCGGAGGGACCAGGACAAGGCGGGCCTGTGCTGTGAGCAGTCGCCTGCTGAAAGGATAGAGAAAAAAGGCAAAGAGGAATCAAGTCCAAATACCAATAGTTGTTAATTCTGAAGAGAGGAATATGAATAATTTTTCTTTTCTCATTCTTTAATATTTTTTAAAGGACAGGATAATAAAAGGGAGGGATTATAATGATTGGTAAAGTCTGTACCCTAGAGAGGAAATACCTAGGAGAGAGCTCCTGAGTGTGCTGGGAGCCCGTGGGTGGGCAGGAGAGAAGAGGGGCTTTAGTTTTGAAAACTGCAGGGGCTGGGGCTTCAGACGTCTACATTAATAGCCTGCCTCTAGAAGAGACTTGAGAATTCAGTAAAAGTGGTTGTGCTAGATGGAGAATTAAGTGGCTGAAGGATGAAGACAGAGGGAGGTGACTTTTCCAGATAAACCCTTTGTATCTTTTCAATCAAGCACGGCGCAAACCTATTACCTATTCAAAAATTCCAGCAGAGGAAAAGAAAAACACACATTGGAAGAAAATGTTATTCAATTCACGAAAGGATTTACTATGTAATTTCCTCAGGTAGGGTATTTTAAATGGCATTCAGTACACAGAAATTCCACTCGCAGACACTTTTTCTGCAATATGGTTATTACACGTTCGTTCATTCTAGCAATATTGTTGAGCAATCTACCCTGTACCAAGCAGATCTGTATCCATTATTGCAGACAATCCTCATCGTGATATACTCGTAAGACAGGTGTAATTAACAAACCAGATAATAAAGTGAAGACACAAAGACAAGCTTAGGCGAAGATCCTTGCCTAAAAGTCAAGCAATGGTGACTTGGAGACCTCAGATGTAAATCTTAACTGGTCTTTCCAGCTCCAATTTGGGCTCTTTTGTATACAAATCACTTGCAACAATAAAGGAGCAAATTTCAGGAAAGTAGATTGCCCTTGAGGGTCAAGGTGCCAACTACTTTGTTCTGAGCTTTGCTTATGTTCCAAATTCAGAGGGTCCTTGGAGGGAGGAGTGATTATACCCACTTTACAGATGAGGCAATGAGGTTCAGAAAAGAAAAACGATTTGCTGCAATGAGTGAAGCTGGAGTGTGGAAGCAGTGTCACTGATGCCCAAGCTCAAATTTCTAAGCACCTATGATACTGTCTCAGTTTACTGCCCCATAAAATGCAAAGATTAATCCCTGCTCTCCTGTCCCACCTTCCTGGAGACAGTATTGTTAGGATGGCACAGTGACAGCTTAGACAGGTGTCGAAATACTTGAAGAGAAGAAGAACAAGTAAATTTTTAGCAAGAAATAAGTTTATTTTAATTATTTTGATAGCAAACTCAGGCCCCGTCCTAGAGACTGCAGGCCCTATAGAAAGCTCATTGTCTAGATTTTATATACACCTTTTGAGGGGTAGCAGCTGCTTCTTGGAAATTTCCCAAGGTCTTGAGCAACTCTGTTCCCATAACAACTCCCATAACGTTTATCTGTTGACATCAGAAAGTCCCAGGGACATGAATCCATCCCCCCAAAACAACCCACTCTTGAGGTCTTACCTGCAAGATCTCCATTAGCCCCATTCCCGTAACAACTCAGGCCAGCCTGACCCAAGCCAGTCCAAAATAGCCAAAACAGCCTAACCGCGGCTGCCACCCACCCTGCTCATGTCCAACTACCTACCTAACAGTATGCTCTAATGACTGGGAAAGTACAAGGACAACAGCATCACCCCCTAAATGTGTCATCAGGCATAGTGTGTCCCTGAGTCTCAGTGCACAGCCCCCCAAGCCCCAGCACTGAGCTTGGAGACAGCAGGAGACTCCTGATTCTGCCAGATGCAGAACTCCATCTAAAGGCTTTGCTTTGAAATGGGGTAGGGACCCCATGGAAATTCTAGAGGCATCTGGAGAGCAAAGGTCCACAGAGGCCAGCAGGGCTTTTTTAATTGCATTAAGACATCAAAATATTTTACTATTATAAAACTAGAAAGGAAAGGAAAGGGAAAAGAAAAGAAAAGAAAAAAGAGAACAGAAGAGAAGAGAAAAGGGAGTCGGGAGGGAGAGAGAACTTTCACTCATCTCTGCATAATTCATGGCCGGGCGGAGACAAAGCCATCTGACACAGTAGTTCCCTTATGTTCAGGAAGCATCTGCCATACTTCCTGCTGTGACGGGAGTAGCAGAGCAAACAGGAGGGGTCCAGCCTTTCAGGAGCCTGCCCCAGACCTTTCCACAGCCCTTTCGATGTCCACCCCAAGCTTGGAGACATTTCAGCTGTAGCCTCCCTCCCTCCCTGCCCTCCTATCTCCATCTTTGTCATCTCTCCTGTCCCAAACCTGTGACATCTTATGCCCCAACCTTTGGACCAATCATGGCAAATGGGATTCAGACAACATTCCTCCCTACTGTGGCAGACTAGTGGGGATGACAGGAAAGTCAGGCAATTCTAACACGACAAGAAAAAAGCTAACATATGCCTGGCACCGTCACTCTGCCGGGCACTTTCCTAAATCCATTATACATGCTGACTCATTTCTTTCTTACACACCCTAGGAGGTAGGTTACTACTTTCATTCCCATCTTAATGGATGAGGAAGTGAAGGCACAGGGACATTGAGTAATTTGCCCAGAGTCACACAGCTTACAAGTAGTAGAATCATAATTCACATTCAGACAGTGGCTGGCAAGTCTGTTCCCTTGTTCTTTGTGCTGAGGTGCAATAAAATATAAGAAAATACTTCATTTAATGCCCACAGCCATCCCTGCAAGGGTGGCATCATGAGCTTTGTCTTACAGACGAATAACGTGTTCTTAGGGAGGTAAGATGAGGTAGCAAGTGAGCGAGCTGGGATTGCAATGAGTCTGCCTACCTACAACACCTGCCTCATAGCTAATGCAACCTGGAAAAGCTACGTGTGTGCAGGCACATGTGCGCACAGAGCTGGAGGGGCGGCAAATGCTTGATGAACTGACCTCTAAGTATTAGGAGGCCTGTTAGTAGATCCTGCTGCCCAGACACATTTTTCACTTCTCACTGCTTCTCCTCCAAGCTTCCGCAGTGGTTCTTTTCTTAGAATTCTTATCAAGCAAGATCCTAGTGACCTCTTCATCCTTCTACATGGCCAAGCCTACAGAAACCATGTCCCTATAACGACCACAAAGGCTGCCCTTACAACGACCACAAAGGCAGCCCCTACAAGGTTAAGTCTCCATTCCCACAGCTCTTCTGAATCTCACCTTCTTCCTATAAGGATCAAGGTAACCATTTTCAGAGTGGAAATGGAGGCTCAAAGGTGATGCTCCTAGACCAGTCTGTCCAAAAGAAATACAATGGAAACCACACATGCAATTTAAAATCTTCTAGTAGTCACGTTAAAATGTAAAAAGAGCTGGTCCCAGGGGGTCACACCTATAATCTCAACACTTTGGGAGGATTGCTTGAGGCCAGGAGTTTCAGACCATCTGAGGCAACATAGTGAGACCCTGTCTACAAAAAAATAAAAAATTAGCCAGGTGCGGTGGCACATGCCTGTAATCCTACCTGCTCAGGAGGCTCAGGTAGGAGGATGGCTTGAGCCCAGAAGTTCAAGGCTACAGTGAGATATGATTATGCTACTGCACTTCAGCCTGGGCAACAGAGTGAGACTTTATCTCTAAATTTAAAAAAAATTAAAAAATTAAAAATGGCTCAAATCAATTTTCAGAATATATTTTGCACAATATATTAAAAAGATTCTCATGTTAACATGTAATTTAAATAAAAATTATTGCTAAAATATTTCACATATACTTTCATAATAGGTCTTCCAAACCCAGCATGTATTTCATGCTTACCGCACGTCTCAACACAGATAAGCCCCGTTTCGAGTACCCACCATATTGGAGGGCACAGTTCTAGAGGCATTTGCAGACCACACATATTACTGAACATAATT